TTGGCTTATTTTCTGAAGTGGAATTGCCAGGCCTTTCCTCCTAGTCTGTCTATATGTGAAGTACTGCTAAAATCTGTCCACCATGGGTGACCCTGCAGCATGAACAGGTTGGTCTGTCCAGAAAGGCTCAGGTAGCATTTTAGCCAGTCCAGGAGGATCTTCATGGACTTTGGGCAAGTTCCCCCTCTACTTCCTCTTGCCTTCCAGTTACAGGGGACCTTTGTTCTCTCCCAGATCAATGTCAGACAGAGGTGTTTAAGGGCTAAGCTAGGCCCTGGGCTAACCTGCCTAGCTGACATTCAGCTTGATAGCTCCCTAATTTCTTTTGATGGAGGTTTTTCTCTGTTTTGTTTTGTCATAGTTGTTGAGTTTTTTGGTTTGCTTCCTTCCTGGTTGAGTTTTGTCTCATTTTCTGTAGAGTTTTTTTTGAACTCTGTCTATAAGAATGAGTTGGTGTTTATCAGGCTCAGAGAATAGAAAAATTCGAGTAGTATGAAAGAATAAGGAAGATGCAGAGTAGCTTAGCGTGGGTAGAGGTATGAGTTTACAAAGTTCTCACCAAAGCCACATAATCAAGGATTTAACTGTGTGTATAAAGAGTTTATGTTTTATGTTAAAGTGGATATGAATCATGAAATGGCTTTAAGCAGTAGAGTGGTTTGATCATATTTATATTTATAAAGGTATCTGTCAAAATTAGGAAGGGTTAGTTTGATATTTGGAGAAACTGGAGACCATGAAAACTAGAATGGGAGATTATTGATGATGATTTTATATGTATGTGTATGTGTGTGTGTATAACAAAGGGCTAAAATAAATTAAAGGGGGAAATAAATAAACAGTCTTTTCAACAAATGGTCCTGGTAAAATTAGATTTCCATTTTGTAAGAATTTAACAGGACACACATATATATGACATAGATACAATATATGTGAACTATATTTACAATATGGTGTCTATGTTGTATATATAATAGTATGGCATGTATATACAGAGCATTTATATATAGCACACATGCTATAATTTTATAGCTATAGATAGAATTTTAAATGTATTAAACTGACTTGACATCAATCAGGTAGAGAATTGAATCTATGCCTCACTGATAAGTCTTATGAATATTAAACTACAGAATGAGGACAAGGTTTAGATGACCTGTTTGGCCCCTTGTAACCCGCTGAGTATTATCAGGAAGAAGTAAAAGAATATGGAGATATTGGGAGATGAAGGTGTTGGTACGTTTGAAGACCTGTAGAACCAAATTCTAATAACTTGTTTCTTAAACTACCTTATTTATTAACTAAAAAAGCCTATCATAAAATAGTAATCGGAATAAAATAAAGGTCAGTGGTTAAGCATTTTGGCTGCTAACTGAAGGTGGATGGTTGGAATTCATTTAGTGATTACCATGAAGAAAATTCTATGAGGCTGGGTTGTTATGAGTGATGGTGTATGCAAGAGAAACCAACTTGAGTTGGATCCGGCTTCAATAAAATGAGGGTCTTTTTTTTTTTTTTAAATGAGGGTACCAAACCCAGCCAAACTCACTTCCATTGAGTCAATGTGGGTTTCTGAGACTATAACTCTTTATGGGAGTAGAAAGCCAGATTTTTCTCCTACAGAACAGCCGGTAATTTCCAACTGCTGACCCGTGTAATTACTAGGGAACCAGAGCTCCTCAATGAAAGCAGTCTTATAGAAACCGAGGTTAGGAATAACCAGCAGTCACACAATCATAGAGCGTCCAGGCTCTCGTTTAATTCAACCTCATTTCCCTTTGAAATCCTCCATATTTTCCATTCCTACCCACTGCCTCAGCCCCACTATCACCATCTAGACATGTTTTCTCTGCTTCTTTTGACTCTGTGTCTACTAAATCATATGGCATAGTTCCAGGCTCCCAGTGTTATCAATCCCCAACACCACTCTCCCTTGCTAAATCTCCAGGGAATTTCTCAGATCGCCTAAACTTGGCTGAGATACTCAAATCTGATCCAATCAGCTGAATGTGTAACAGAGTTTAGTGTAATTAGACCATAATGAGTAGGTTCCAGATACCACTGTGTGTGTGTGTGTGTGTGTGTTTGTAACAAATGTCTCAATTTGAGAATCACTGAGTTAGGCTCTAGTGATTTTATGAAAATAAAAATAGTGATAAGTAAAATAATATCACGACCCTTCACTACAAACATGTCCACCATTTAATATTTAGCAACTGTGAAAGTCTCATGTATGTTAAAGCTGCAGCACAAAGTAAATTTAAAGTTGCCAGTAGAATTAGGGTTGCAAATCAGGAACCCTGGTGGCACTGGCAGGTAAGCCTTGGATTATTAACTCCAAGGTTGGACTTTAAACCCACCAGCTTCTCAGAGGGAGAAAGATGAGGCTCTCTGTTCTTCTGAAGGTTGTCAGCCTCAGAAATCCTACATAAGCTAGCCAGAAGTCTGAATCAACTTGATGGCAATGGAAATCAAGGGATAGAAGCTCTATTGGTATCATGGATAAACGCGAACTTAGTGAGAATTGGTATGAACCCAATATAATTACAAAAGAAAAACCACCACAAAACTGTCATTGAGTTGATGCTGACTCATAGTGACCCTAAAGGATAGGGCAGAACTGCCTCTGTGGATTTCTGAGACTGAACTCTTTATTGGAGTAGAAATCTTTATTTCTCCCACAGAGCTGCTGGCGACTTCGAACTGCTGACCTTGTGGTAAGCAGATTCTAGAAGTTAAGAAAATAGAAACAGCTATTCTCGTTTTATATGTAGATATGTAAGACCTATCCCCAAATCTACATTTTTAAAAGATATATAGAACAGTCAAAGATATATAAATATATCCAAGGCAATATTCCCTAAATGCAGCACCTTTTCCTTCTTATGGAAAGAACACCTCCCCTCTCCCCTTGATTTTCATTTAGAAAGTTTCTATCTATCCATTTATTTATGTATTCTCCAGCCATGTGGTTCTATTGTGGTGCCACTCTATGTCACAGATCCACTTTCTCTCCAGGAGTAAGTATGTTATTTCTTGTTGTCAGGTACCAACAAGTTGGCTTTGCCTCATGGCAATCCTGTGTTCAACAGAAAGAAGCTCTGCTCAGTCCTATGCCATCTTCACAACTGTTGTTATATTTGAGCTCTTCGCTGCATCCACGGGGTCAATCCATCTTGTCCTAGGTCTTCTTTCTTTTCCATTACCCTTCGGCTTCATCAAGTGTGAAGTCCTTTTCCAGAGACTCCTGATAACTTGTCCAAAGTACTTGAGACAAACTCTCCCCATCTTTGTAGACACAAAGCAGCATTCTACTTAGTCCTACCTAATCGGATACTTTATCATGTGGATGAAAATGGAAACTAAGCATAGAGGAACACTTTCTGTCTGATAGTATCCATTAGCAAGTGTGAGCTCACAATTTATCAGACACCAGTTTATCAGGTTGTTCCAAACTTGCAGAGCATGCCTTTCTGGGGTTCGGAGAGAACGACCCTGTCTGAGAGTGGTAGGGTTGAGAGAAGGAGCTGGAAGTTGAGGCATTGCAGTTTCTGGTTTCATTCATCCCTAAGGCCAATCTTGGACCTACTTTGGAGGTTCTCTTTTTTGCCAAACTACTGCAACTTATTTTTTTGACACTCTGACCGTAATCTGACAAAACAAGAAATAAAGCCATTAAAAAGAAATGAACTGAGCAATCAAAAAGTCAAAACACATGCATCTATTAAAAGTAACAAACCCGAAACACCTGAATACTATAGAGTCAGTTCCAACCCATAACAACAAACCTATTCTCTCTCAAGCAGCTTAGGGATACAAAGCATTCTATTAGTGAAATTAATAGGATAAGTCCTATTAATGGAACCAAATGGAACCAAAAATATTGATGAAAGGAGTCTGAGGACACTCAGAGCTCCAAGACAATTACCAGGCTCACTCATAAAATACTTCCATCACAGTCAAAATACTTGTTGGGAAGGACTACTGGTGTGTGGGACTTTTTTTATTCTAATAAATCAAATGTTTCTCCATTCTAGGCTAACTAAAGTAAAGAGAAGCAACAGGGATGCGTGGAATAAATCACTTCCTGTCCACAGTCCATTTTTCTTTGTGTTCTCTCAGGTGTGTTTGAGGGATTCCACAGTTGACCAGATTCTAAACAGAAGGGCATGAAATTAAAACTAAGTATGCATGTGGCATGGAATAATAATCAAGTCAGTCTCTTTAAAATTCGAAGTGCCTGAAAGCCTACAACCATTAGTACAATGTCTACACAGCGCAGGCTGAAAATTCTGTTTCTCAGAAGGGCTTTCAGAAGGTTCAACTTTTAAGGTTCTAAAAGCAGGGTTAGAAAGAGAACCATCTTAGTTGAGAATCTTTTTTCTACTTCTTCCCAAGATATTTGGGTAAGTTTAGGTAGAAAATGCAGATTGTTGTTCCAGAAACTGGCAAGAGAGCTTGTCCTCAGAGAAAGGGCAATTTCCTGAGCTGTAAAACAGTGAGCAATGGTTGGATAGCGACCAAGTAGAATCTGGCTTTGCACACCGCAAAGAGGCGTGTTAAGGAGGATGCCCTGTCCAAGTGATCTGCGGTGAGAAATTTCCATGTGCTTCATCCCTTGAGGGCTGATGAGAAGAAAAGATTGGGGCAAGGGGTCTAATATGTGGGGAGGAACAGTTGGTGGGCACACCGGTGGCTTGAGAGAGAAGCATGAAGGCCCTGGGGACCAGCTGCTTGATCCTGTGACAAGACAGGTTTCTGCGGGGTAAGTAATGGGGTACACAGAGAGACTTCGATGGTTTCTCTGTCACTGGCGGTGGAAAAACAAAAAGACTTCCAGAATGAGACAGCTCATACCTCCAGCGCTCAGGCTTCCCAGAGGCTGTGGCAGAGAGCAGCCACTTGGTGTCCCACCGCTCCTGGGCCCGCCCTTCATTTCCCACCCCACCTGGCCCCGCCCCGGCCCGGCCCCGCGCCTGAACCTGCGCCGCGGACGGCTGGTGGAGGGAGAAGTAGCGGCGCAGGGCGCGTGGTGAGTGGACACCCCACGGGGGACCATGGCCAGAGTGGAGCGCCCCAGGAGGGAAAGGACATGTGGGGAAAAATGAGCGGGGAACCTTGGTCACTCCAGAAAGGGGGGAGGGCGGCGGCACTGCCTGGAAAGGTCCAGC